GGGGTAAACTTTTTGAGATTGGAACTCGTTTTATTTCTTGGGCTGAGCAGAATAATACACTTAAATATTGAAAATATTAATTGGTGTACGCCGGACTCGAACCCGGTCCAATGCTTTGGTAAGCAAGGGCCGGATCCGATAGGCTACTGCGCGCCTTTAAAAGATATTATTTCTTCGAGTTTAATTCAATTTTTGAGAAATTTATTCAGCTCCATCGAAATTTTAATTATTAAGCAACAAAAATACTCAAATATTTACTACAAATCTTGAAATGTTGCAAGTTTAATTAACATATTATTAAGAATAGACTTGCTAGCGAAAAAAATCCGCAATTTCTTGTGAATAATTCACTTAAAATCAATTTTTTAAAATATAACGCTAAATAAATAAAAATTTCAGGTTTGAGAACAACTTTAGATTAATAATAAATTAATTAGAAAATAATTAGCAACAATAATAATGATAGTTTTTTTTAATATTTAAATTAAAAGTCCGGGGATTCCCTCAATAGCAAAAGTAACGGAAGGTTAAGAAAATTTATTACTTATCAAAATGAAAAGTTATAAGTTTTTTCTTGATATTTAATAACTGTTAATAAAAGTTACCTTTGCAGAATCATCATCAATGATACGCTTACTAGCAGCACGTCTTGGCAATGAGTGAGTATCAAAACTACTGTGACTAGCACTCCTGGAAGATGACGACGGTTCTACCAGTGTAATGGCGTTGGGTGATAAACTGCGGGTCAGTGCATCAGTCTGTTGTATGTTAAACGCTATTTCTTGCTGCAACATTTGACGCTTTACGTTGTCTATTTCTAGTCGCGCTTTGCTCAGCTCTTTCATTATCTCGCTCTTCTCGTTCTGCAAGTCTTCAGCTATTTTACGCATCTTTTCTAGCTCTTGAGTCAGCGCGTTTTTCTCCTCTAATGCGTGCATACGTTCCTTCAAATGCACCTGCAGTCTCTCATTGGATTCTATGAAAAGTTATAGGAAGTTATAATTAATTATTGATAATAAAGTACGTTAAAGGTTTAAGTACAGTTTAAATTTAAAAAAAAATTGATTTTTTTTTAAGCACAATATTTCAAAGTTTTTACTGAAAAATTAAAATATATTTAATTGAAACACAGAAAAAAAATTAATTGAATCAAGTAAATAATTTTGAAGAATTTCATCTTCTGATTTTAGTAGAAAAATTCTTAAGCTAAGAAATTTTTCTTGGTTTAAGTAAATTTTTTATTTAATTCAAGAATTTTTGGTCTTGATTCAAAACAACGAAATTCTTCAAAATTATTTTCTTGGTTTAAGAATTTCTCTTGATTCAAGTTAATTTTTTTTTTCAGTGTAGATTTTAAAATACTTTACAAAACTCGGGCAGAAAAAATTTTTTTTCATTAATTTGAGCAATTTTAAACCAAAAGTTATTCTTATAAAATTAAACTAAAATTTATAATTTTGGAGTTATAAATTTATAAAAATGATCAAAAAAGGTAACCTTTGCCCAGACTAAAATTCAAAATTTGTACTCTCAAAACTATATTTTCAAATTCGGTGATCACTCTCATTAAAAAACGACTCCTAGAATTTTAATTAAATTTTTACAGCTCATTTAAAGTACAAAAAGCTAGTCCTTGATCCAAGGATTTATTTTTTTTTAATTTTGATTTATAACAATAAACTCCCTCTTCTTTCTATAAAATTCGCGAGTAAGCTGTTAGACGCTGTCATTTTCTTAATTTTCAAAATAAAAAAAAAGTTTTGATCTTGGTACTAAATTTACTATTAAACTAATGATTATTTCTTGTTTGATTTTTAATGAACTAATAAAGAGTTATGGCAGTCACCTTGAAGGACTACTTTGAAATCTTGGTCGTCAAATTAAACATATAATCAATATCATTAATTTTATATAATTTAATCAGTGTCAAAAAAAAATTAACAATTAATTTTTTCATTCTCTGACTGCACCCAACGTGATAAAATCCAAGTTAATAATAAAAAAAAAAAAGTTTTGACAAATTACCTGACAATAGTTTATCAACAGTATTACTTAAACGTGAATTATGCTCTTCATTCATCTTCAATCGTTGATTAAGACGCATGACCTCGCCATTCTTTTCTTCTAATTGAGTTTCCAGTCTTTGTATTCTGTCCTCGGCGCTGCCGTGCTTCTCTTGCGCCTGCTTATTTAATGTATCACAAATCTATTGTTTATTATTAAATATTATTCTCACTGCTTTTAAAACTTTCAATCAATCACTTTATTATGGATGTTTCCCCGAAATTTATCGCTAAAATCCTTAATAAACTGATTAATTGCTAAACTAACAACAGCAGGCTCATATTTTTGTATTAACGAAACAATAAAATGAATAAACGAATAAATGAAAAGATGAAACATGAGTGAATCATTTTTTGTATTAATGTGGCGATATATGAATTCCCTGCGTACCTGGTTGGGCCTCCTCACCTGCGTCAGAGCCTCCATCCTCTGCTTCAACTGTTCCTCCATTTCTGGTAGTTTTGCGTACTGCGCCAGTTTCTGTTCCGCAAGCTCAAGTTTTTCTTGTATCGCTGCTATTCTCTTTTCTTGCAGCTAAAAAAAAAAATTAACATTAGCAACTGGCCCTCGATAAAATTAAGGAGTTATACGCACTTGGAGAGCTATTTTTAAATAATTTTTTCTGAAGAAACTTTTTAATTGATTGATACGAAATTTAATATACATTTACTAGCGACTTTGGACTTTAATAATAAGTTCTTTTTTTTTTTTTTTTTTTAGTAAAAAGTTCTGCTAATTTAAGATATTACTTAGAAATTAATCTCCAGAATTATAAAAATATATATTTTTAACAAAATGACGGTTTCATAAAAAAATAATCAATTTTTGATAAAAGTTTTAGCCTTAAGTTGTATACAAAAATATAAAATATTTATTAGAATTATTAATTCTTGAATCAATTACTGAAAAATATAATTTAAAAAATTGTGTAAAAATTAGAGGCTGATCTCATCACTTTTGATAAATATTGCCCACCGATTTTGAAAATATAATTTTGAGAAAAAGGCGCTCAAAGTTTTTTGGCCTTAGCAGCATTGAAGTGCAACAAGCTCCGATTAGGCTTTACAAATACCTGTATAACTTTAGAAATACTTGTCCGATTGACATTTAATTTTTTGTGTATATACGTGAATATATGTACATTACAAAAATGAAATTAAAAAAATTCCAAGTGCGTATACCTTTTAACCTTCCGTTACTTCTGTTATCAAGGGGATCTCGGGACTATTATTTGAAATATTAAAAAAACTAAAATTATTGTTGCTAATTATTTTTAATTAATTTATTATTAATCTAAAATTGTTCTCAGACCTGAAATTTTTATTTATTTAGCGTTATATTTTTAAAAATTAATTTTAAGTGAATTAGTCACAAGAAATTGCAGCTTTTTCCCGCTAGCAAGTCTATTCTTGATAATATATTAATTAAACTTACAAAATTCTAAGATTTATAGAAAATATAAGTATTTTTGTTGTTTAATAATTAAAATTTTGATGGAACTGAACAAATTTTTCCAACTTTAAATTAAACTCGAAGAAATAATATCTTTTATAGTTAATTTTAATTTAATAAGACTTAAAATAAATCTGGCAACAATGTCGAGCTAAAAAATATTCCGGGGATTCCCCTTGGCACTTCTAATGCTCTCATAATTTTTCCCTGTAACGGAAGGTTAAAAAAAAATAATTATATCATAAAAAATTACTTTTAGCTGATCTTCCTTGTGTTTAAGTTCCTGCTCCAATTTTTCATTCAAGTCATGAACACTAGTAGATTCTCGCTGAGCATTCAAGTATCTCTTCTCAAGAGTCGCTATTCTTTCTTCCTGGTCCTCTTTTTGCGCAACATTCTCCCGTAAATCGCGTTGCAATTTTCCATTTACTTCCTGGGTCTTCATGAACTCTTTTTGTGTTTTAGAAAGAGTTTCTTCTAATTCAGCAACACGAGAGCTTAATTCCCCGACTCGACGTTGCCACGTCGCTATTTCAGAGTTCTAAAAATTAATTTTTTATTAATATTTTTTAATTATTTCAAGTGAGACTCATACCCGAAACAATTAATATTTTATCCACTGTCTAGAATAAAACTATTGATTAAAACTACCGATCGGGTACTGAGTCTCCAACCTTACCTACATAATTAAATTAGAGTACCAAGTGTCATATAATCACTGTGTTAGTGTACTACAAAATCGTGTGTGTAATTTTTTATTTCGCCACGGCAGTACGGCACGGGAAGGCGTTACACGTAAAAAAAAAAAAATCATTCCATCACATGCTCTATTTCAAAATAATTATTTAAGATCAATATTAACAATCAATATATTTTAGGTAAATATTTACAAGTGGGGTCAACCATTTTAATTTTCATTTTTTGAACGAAATTTCTATTTGATTTTATTATGAAAAATACAAAAAATAAATGAACAATTTAAGGGGGAACACCATGGAGGAGGATATTTTTTAGTGCTCTACGAGATTGTTAATAACTTTGTAATTACTAAATATTTTTTAATAAAAATTAAGGGTAATAATCTTTAATGTACCCTTAATAAAATAAAAAAAATCCGATCCCCAAATTTCTTTATTTTCCCTGTCAAAAAAATTCCCCAAAATCACCTTTTTTTTTCCTTAAAAAAAAAAAAAAAAAAAAAAAAAAAATTGATTATTACAATTTCTTAAAATTGTACAAATTTTCAAAAAAATTTATAAATTTTTTAGAAAATTGTGATATTCAATTTTTTTTCTAAATTGTTCGTTTTTTTATGTACTTTTCAAAAACATCAAAAAAAGATAAAATAAAAATTTTATTCAAAAACATGAGAGCCAAAATTTGTTCCAACTTTTGAAGGCAAAAAAGCTATCAAAATCTTTATTTTTTTCTTTCACAACATTTTTTATTAAAAATGCGCCGCAAAAATAAGCATAATAAAAAAATTTTTAAATATTAATTTTTTACCTAATTATGGCCCAAAATGGGTTTGACTCCACTTGTAAATAATTACTATTTTTCGAATAAAAAAAAAAAAAAAAAAAAATTTATCTGTACAAAATTCTAAATCACATGCCTTGACTTCACAAAAATCGCGTACGTGAATGGAATGACTGACATTATAAATCTAAATTAAATAATAAAAACTTCCCTGTAGTCGACAAATAAAAACCGCGTACCTGTTTCTCTACAGTCGCTTGCAACTCGGCGACTCGCGCTAAAGACTCCTTAGAATCTCTAGAATCTTTAGGATCCTTATAATCCTCAGTAGTATCTCCATTGCTGAGCCTTTCGGCGTCTTCCTTAGTGGTCTTCTCTGGAGAGGATTCATTGACATCGTCAACAATATCTACTCGCTTACTCGATTCGTCCTGGTGGGTCTCATTCAGCTGGTTCACCTCCTCATTCTGTCCCAATATACGAGTCAGAATTACCTCAACTATTTTAACGCATTACACTAAGCCCTATTTTATCTCCCACCACCGCAGTTGATTGCCATTATGTTAATGCTTATTTGACATAATGTTAGAATTAAAGTTAGAGTTACAATTATGATTAACATGCATGTACATTATATTATAAAAAAAAAAAAAGGTGACTATGAAAAGCTATGACACATGCAAGCACAACCCGCGCACATTGCCTTATTTAATGGTATTTATTACTTAATTTTATTCATTAGATTTTTAGATTTAATTATTGGTCAAGCCCTCGACCGATTGCCCAAATAAATGTGATTAATGCTGGTGATGTACTGAATAAATGTGCCATGGTGTATGAGTGTAATTTGTTGGCATTGATTGTAAGCAGTGATACCTTGTTTTGTAATTGCTGCTGCTGCTGCTGCTCGTCCAGTTGCCCGTTTTCTTTAGGCTTGTCTTCTAATGGCTTTAATGATGCTGGGTACCCACCGAGTTTATATTGCTGCAACTATTCAAATTATTATGTTAGTAACTTTAAAATAGTCCATTTATTTATAAAATAATAAAATTAACTTTAAATAAATAGTTTTTGATTCAATTTTAAATAAATGGCACTACTAAAGCATTTCAATAACAAACTTCAAACTTTAAATTAATACTGCATTAATCTAAATAAAATAAGTTACGATCGATCGGCTGACAATTTATTAACATAAATCACGTCTATTTTTTAATAGTTATTTATTTATATATTTATATTTATTTATATATATTTATATAATTTTTAAATGTAAAGTCAAAATTACGCAACTTTTAATAATTATTATTTCGGTATAAAATGCCCGTGATTATATCGTAATTTTGAATCTACGAAATTTTTATAAGCGCGCACATTCATCCGCATTTTTTTTAAATATACGATTTTATCTTTTGTTTATGGCTTATCTTTGTTCGGGTAAAAAATGGTAGCAAGTGATTTACAGAAAATTATGTATCTTCTCAAAGGTATTTTTCGGTACGGTTAGGTCTCTTTTAATTATTTACCAAACTTAAAAATTAAAATACCATGTTAAAGATCATGTTTCCCGATATTGACGAAAAATATCCAAGAAATTTGAAGAAATGTTTTTGGTGAAAAAATTGACAATAAAAAAATTTAGCTATGTAACTGAGTGGAGGGGGCTTTCGGCTACTGGTGTGTTGGCGCAACGAGCAGAGAGTGTGCGTTGACACACGAGTGCCGAAAAGCCGCTTCCAATCAGTTGATACATAAATAAATGGAATTAATTAACACAACCAACATAATATTTCGCACAATATCGTGATAAAGAAACAAATGGTCGTATTATAATGTGGAAATTAACGAATGCAAATATTTATTAATGAAAGATATTTTTTTCTTTTCAATACTAGTGATAAATATCAATCTTATTTTCACATTATAAAATGAGTGAAATTTTTTTTTTATTCTCTACAAAAAAAAGTCTCTTATGATTTTTTTGTATCTTCAATATTCACTCAGAATATGGATTTAAAAGTTTAACAAATAATTTTTAGTTGCAATTTTTACATAACAACAGGTAAAATTATTTCCGTAAACCAGAGCTACCATAAAATACCATAACTACTAAAATACAGTTAATCCGTTATTAACTTGGATAAAGGCAGACATAAAGTAATTAATGAAAGATAATTTTGTTTTTTTTAATAGTAGTAATAAATATCAGTCTTATTTTCATTATAAAATAAACGTATATGATCGCAATATTGTGCGAAATATTCGCACTAGTCGGCTAGTTTTATTTTAAAATACATGTAGAGTTTAATTGTACAAAAAGGCTTTTGATGTTTTCTTCTCAGTTGGAACGAGTAAATATAAAGCTTTAATTATAAACGCTGTGTAGTCATTAATTTTTATTTTAATTGATTGTAATTAAAACATTTTTTGCGAATATTTAAATTTTTAGATAATTCGAGAAAAGACTGAATACTAAAAAATTCTACATTTAAAATAACTCACATGTATATATTTTTTTTTTATATAATAAAACTTGTAAATCATGAATACATTTTGATAAAATAAAATGAATTGATTGATTAATTAATTTATAAAAATTGAATAAGCTTCTGTGAACCTAATAATTTATTTGAAATATTAGACTGACGACTGTAAGCCGTATGTTTTTTTTATCACATGTGGAACTGTGATAATTAATTCTAATGGCGAAGAAGTAAATAGAAATTATGATATATGAACTGATTAGCGAACATCTGTCATTTAAAAAATATATAAAATACTTTCTATGAGAAATTGTAGTATATTTTACTTGTAATTTTATTTTAAAAATTGTTTTGAGTAAATTAATAGAAAAAAAAAAAATATTGATATTTGGTGAAAGATATCCATAAAAAAAGAAGAGTACAACTAAAAGGTTTATAAACGAAAAAAAGGTACCTCGTCTTTGGTTCGTGCGAGCTCCTCCTCAAGGCTTGTATTTCTTTCGAGCGCGACTCTTAATCGTTCTCGAACCTAAGTAACAAAACAAACAAAACAAAAAATTTAAAATTACGTGATGGTAAGACATAAGACAAAAAACACTCAGTAGAAACAGACCTTTTCATCCAAAGCCTTGTGGTGCTCGAAGAGGCTCTTGAGTGCCTTGAGTACCTCGACCTCGGACGACACTCCGGATTGTGCAGCCGCTTGTCTCTTCACCACCGTCATCCGAAGAGATCTTTCGTGCCGAGATACTAGACATTCCAGATGCTCAAGTAGCAGCTATTTAAATAAATTATTTTAACAATTACAAGTACGATCCATTATTTGCAATCCAATCAACAAACAATAACAATTTGCATCTTGGTTGTGATTATTTAAAGGGTTAGGAAATATTTTTTCAAAATTAATCTTTTCTTAAGTAAATCTCAAAAATAAATACTAATAGTTTTTGAGATATTTTTTTTTGTACCGAATTAATTTTTTTTTTTTTATTAATTTGGGTAATTTTTAGCCGAAAGTTTTTCTTGTAAAATTTAATTACAATTTACAGTTTTTGAGTTATAAATTTATAAAAATTATCAAAAAAGGTAACCTTTGCTTAAATTAAAAGTCAAAATTTGTTCATAAGTTCCTTCAAATGCACCTGTAGTCTCTCATTGAATTCTAAAGAATAGTTTTAGTAAGTTGTATTTAATAATCAATAACAAAGTAAATTAAAGGATTAAGTGCAGTTAAAATTTAAAAAAGAATGGATTTTTAGCATTTTTTTTTAAGTATAATATTTCAAAAATATTTACTGAAATATTTTAATATATTCGATTGATAGATTTTAAGATACTTTACAAAACTAGGGCAGAAAACTTGTTTGAAAAAATTTTTTTTGGGCCAAATTAATTTTTTTTCATCAATTTGAGAAATTTTGAACCAAAAGTTAATTCTGATAAAATTCAACTGAAATTAATAATTTTTGAGTTATAAATTTATAAAAATTATCAAAAAAAGTAACCTTTGCTCAGACTAAAACTCAAAATTTGTACTCTCAAAACTATATTTACAAACTCTGTGACCACTCTTATTAAAAAACAACTCCTAGAATTTTAATTAAATTTTTACAGCTCATTTAAAGTACAAAAAGCTAGTCCTTGATCCAAGGATTTATTTTTTTTTTTTAATTTCGATTTTTTTTAACAATAAACTCTTGCTTTTTCTACAAAATTGGCGAGTAATGACGCTGTCATTTTCTTAATTTTCAAAATAAAAAAAGGTCCGATCTTAGTACTAAATTTCCTATTAAACTAATGATTATTTCTTTTTTGATTGATTTTTAATGAACTAATACAGAGTTATGACAGTCACCTTGAAGCACTATTTTGAAATTTTGGTCGTCAAATTAAACACATAATCAACATAATTAATTTTTCAAAATTTAATTAGTGTCAAAAAACTATTAAAAATTATTTTTTCTTATGGCTGCATTTAACCCTGAAAAATACTACCAGAACTAGCAATTTTCAAAACTTAATATAATTTTCTGTAAAAAACTACCTTTTGCTCAAATAGATACATTTTTGAGCTTGAATCAATTTACAATTTTTTTTTTTAATTTTAAAAATTATAATAGAAATTTTCAATACTTCTTAAAATATCCACTAATTTTCCTTTCGGTTATCAAAATTTGTGAGTCAACTTTTAGACACTGTCATTTTCTTAATTTTAAAAATAAAAAAAAATTTTCCATCTTGGTACTAAATTTACTATTAAACTAATGATTATTGCTTGTTTAATTTTTAATGAACTAATAAAGAGTTATGACAGTCACTTTGAAATTTTGGTCGTCAAATGAAACATATAATCAATATCATTAATTTTATATAATTTAATAAGTGTCAAAAAATTTTCTCGTGCCTAACCCTTCAAATATTTTTCCCCAAAATTAATTCAACAAGATCCAAATTACTGTTAATTGAATAAATTTATTTATTAATTTATCCACCATACCCGAGTATTATTACGCTCAGCCTTCAATTCCGATATTTCTTCCTCGCGCTCAAGAATACTTTCACGTGCAGCAGACAACTCTTTCGTCAACTGGGAAAATTCCTGAAAAGAAAGAAAAAAAAAAACATTCATTACTCTTCTTACCTAATTGATAATTATCATAGTCATAAGCAATAAAAAGATTCATATTTATAATAATATTTAAATTTAAATATCTATGTACATTATAGTATCCGTTTACGATTGACTGTAAGTTGTTACGCGATGTAATACTCTTGCATATGTGTAAATATATACATGTATATTATGAGCGAGATAAAAGTACCGAGAAGCGTGTATAGTATAAGGTGAGGTTCATTCATACGCCCGGGGTCGTTGCCGATAGCAGACGAGTGCCGTCGTAGAGTAGGTGGTTGTAGTGGTGGTGGTTGTGGTAGTAAACTATTGATCGGTCAGTTTCTCTCTTGCGTACAACCAATCATCTCATTTACCCGACGTCGCACGCACCACACACCTCACCGTGCTCTCTACCTATAATCACCTTACCATACCGTCAACGACATCCACCTTCACCGTCGCCGTAGGTTGTAACCGCACACGAGTTTACATTATACGCCCTACTCATGTTTTTTATATTTTGTTGCATAATTATTTCTTCATATCTCTGGCTCATATTATTTATTATTTTATTATATATTAATATTTTATTTCTAATGATACTCCAAGACCAACAACACCCCCCACGTGCTCATAATATTTTTTCCTCATCACAATCTACTCCAACATTCCAGATTTTAAAAACTATGCCTCAAGCACATTACACGTAACGACTGAAAAAAAAGAAAAAAATTACTGAGATTTTGTAGACCGTGATTGCGACACATTTTATCTTTTTTTTTAATTTCTTGGAATAAAAATATTTTAATTAATATTATGAAAAATTATTTTTATTTTTAAATAGACTTAAAAATTTGATTATTAATTTTGTTCTAAATATTTTGTTAGAAAGTTATGAAATCTTATCATTAATATTTATATTTTTATTTTTAAAGATAGTAGTTATCTTTTCTGACATCTAGTGATTGTTTCAGATTCTTCAACAGCGCCCCCACTCTAACAAATCTAATTTTCAATAATTACCGCAGAACAATGTTAATTTTAACAATAATTAAAGCGTTAATTTAAATAAAATTAAGTATCTTTACAATTCCACCATCATGAAGATTAAAAAAAATTTTATTTACACCCATTAATACAAATCTATAATAAAAAATTGTATAAATAAATTTTCCAGTGGGTCCCTTGATTCAAAATGGCGTCTTTAACCTAATTTCCATCTTTAAAAATCTAACCTTGTACTATTTTTTAAACTATCATTTTAATTATTAAAAAATTGAAAGGTTATGTTTATATAAAAAAAATAATTTTTTAATAGAAAAAAAAAATTACCTGAGGAACACTAGCATTGATTTGTCTATTAAGAGCATCCCGCTCCTTCTCAACGTCCCGGACCCTAGCCTCAGCCTCTTGAAGTCTCTCCTGGCTCTCGCGAAGCGAGTCCATAAGCTTGTCCCGCTCGTCGAGCATGGACACCATAAGCTGCTCGAAATTGGCATCTTCACCAGAGAACTGTGAGCTTCTTTGACTTATACTGTCTTCAGCGATCGTTGGCATAACGTCGCACATCATATTCCACATTTCGATCACTAGCGGCACATATAAACACACGCACAACTGTGCACTTAATAAACAATAGCAACAACAATATCAATAGTCTGTTGTATTAACTAAAACAATAACTAGTAATTCATTTCTTCAGAAAGTTTCTCGGGTTATCACGGAACGTCATTGGTCCAATTGGTGTCTCTCTGAAGAGGCCACTCGCTGCAGCTCGTCAGCAACTGTGGCTTCCAATTTACTGTCAATGGGAATCACTCGTTCTGGTGTCAACTGATGATGCATCTGTCTGATGATCCGATCGCCCATCTTTTACTGGACACTTGAAAAAAATTTAAGATTTTTTTATTTAATACAGCTGTCAAATATTGTTTTTTTTTTTTTTTTTAAATAGTTTGGTTTTACTTTAGTGTTTTTTGTTTATATAATCACCACACCTAGTGCAGTAAACTATCATATATTTTGATGTCAAAATTCAATTGTTGTGGATTAAAAAAAAAAAAAAAAAAACTGTCATCTATACCTACACCGTGAAAAGTGGACCCTGGAGAAATGAAAGTAAATAATGTAAATTAATATTGTGAAAATAAAAAAAAATAATAATAATAATAAATAATTAAAATATAAATAAAGAGAAAGTTTACGTACATTACTATTACCATCAGAATGACCATAAAAAATATACATTACAGGGGTAGTTAATAAAATACATGTAGATGTATATATAGATATTGGCACTCACAGCAGACGTGCTTGCTACGTTTAGTTTTGAATAGCGGTTTTTAAAAATAGGTATAAATATATATGTACTAAATGATAATGTTAATTTATAATATAATAATAATAGTACACTAGAAAAATGATTGATATAAAGTAAATGTGGCGGTATCCGGTCACGTTATCACGGTAAAAACCGCGGAAAACCGCGCAACTGACACACCTACAGGTATTACTACCGCCCAGTCTTCTACACTACTCCATTTTCAATACCAGGACGGCCATCTTGCTTATTGTGTATGCGCGTGTGTGACGTAAGGGGTGAAGAGAACGAATTACGGAGTTTCACGAGTTTTGACGAAGTTTTGCGGGCTTTCAAGGAAATACTTTGCGCGCAAAATTTGAATTTTTCAAAGTCCATTTTTTTTTTTGTTTTTTTTATTAATATTTATAATTATAATATAATAAATAATTTATTTTATTTATTATTTAATTAAAAAAAGATTTTTTTTTTAATTAATTATTTAAAGATATTAAAAATTAGCAACAGAGTGAAGTTTGGCGAAATTGAGAGCTAGTCCGCCATTTTTAATAAAATTCTCACTTCAATTTTTATTTCTTCGATTTTATTTAAATAAAAATTTTGATTTGCTGTAAATTGATTTATTTTTAATTAATACAATGGCAAGATTGTAAATATGTATTTTTTTTTAATCAGCGCTTGTTTTTAAAGTTAAATTTGTCAAAAAAAAAAAGACCCGACCGTTGATAAACATTTAAGGTTGTTAATTATTTTTAATTTTTAATAATCGCGCGGGAAATTTGGATAAAAAAAAAAAAGTTTCAGAGTATTGATTAAAATTAGTAAAGTTATTTAAAGAGCTGTATATATAAGAAATAAATAGTTTGAATAAAAACGATTTATTGCCAGAAGAAAATAAATGTAAAAGGGGGTGAAAAAATATAGAGGGCAAAAGTACGCGGAGATTGCGCGGAATGGAGCCAGCTGGATGCTGCGTTAATGATCAATACTTTTCTCCATTTAATCTGTCATTCTGTTGTGCGGACGTCTGTTTTGTAGACAAACTTTGTTAGAAAATGGGATCACCGAGTCATTTGTGTCATCGAAAGAACAAACGTAACTATTTATTTATTTTTCTATTTTTAAAAATACTTTTTTTAAATCATTAATTAATGTTTGAATTTTTTAGTGATCAACGAAATGGAAGATGAGACAATAGAAGACATCTCGGAATCCGTTGATGACTTGAGAGAGCGATTAGCAAATGTCAAGAGGATGATGAAGGAACAGAGTGGCTACACCCTGGGTGAACTCGCGGCCAAGAAGAAAGGAAAATCTGATGTTATAAATGGCGATTTATTGTCTTTGATTTTTGCTGGTGTCTTCTTTGTTGTTATGGGTGCTAGTTGTTGGGCTTTTTATAATCTTTATCGAGCTGTTCTCAAGAAGTTTCCTTCTCATCATACTGAACTTTAATTATTGTTATTCTTATTATTAATATTACTATTATTATATTAAATTAATAATAATTCATTATGCGGTTTTGTTGTAATGACATTTAAAAAATATTTAATGTAATTATTGAAGAAATAATATTTATAAAATTAATTACATTTGTTGTCTTTTATTATTTCTTCCTAAATATTATTATTATTTAATAAATAATAATACTAATTAAATTACATAAAAAAAAATTTTTAAGCGCTAATTTAAAAAATTTTGTATTTTTTCCCGCTGAAAAGGCGCGCCATCTTCCGGGAATTTTTTTTACTACATTTATTGATTATAAACGTGATTTCTAGAACACACCACACACACTAAATTGCAATTTGCATTAAATTACAACAAAGTCCAAGTTACTAAATTAAAAAATGGGTGTCTGCAGTTTACTGAAAAATATTTACTACGATCCTTTTAAATGGTAAAAATTAATTCATTTTTATATTTAAAAAAAACTTGACAGTTTTATTAATTTTCTCAGACAATTTTTGAGTTTTTGATGTAATACATAGCCTAAAAAATTAATTTTATTTATTAATAATTTTTCAAATAAAAAAATTTTGTAATAATTTAATTTTCATTGTTTAATTTAAAAATTAATTTATTTTTCTGGAAAATTTATAAAAAATAAAAGACTTGTCAAATGTAAAGTTAGTTATTTTAACACTTGTAATTTAAAAAAAAAATTTTCTACTTTTTTTTTATGATAGGTTGTTAAAAAAAAAAAAAATGATTATCAAATCTATGCTAATTAATAATACTCACACTAATTATTATTATTTTCCAGGTCATTAATAAAGAGTATCGCTATGTTTGGATTTGGTGTCGCCCTGGCTCTGGAATTCAAGGGAGTGGACTTCATGAACCCACCGGCATAATTTGACACTGCAGTCCTAGAAAATTATAATTTTTATTACAAAATTCCATTATGTAATAAAAATGATTGAAAAAATTACTGTACAGATGCATTTAAATATATTTTAAATCAAAACTAAAAAATTATTGTTTAATATTCAACTAATGAAAAATCTGATTATTTTTTGAAGGTTTTTTCAATGGAGAAATTATCAAAAAAAAAAAAATTAAAATTTTACGTATAGAAAATTAAAAAAAAACTATAAGTGGAGTTTTTAATTAATTAATTCTAATTTAATTAATTAAAAAATTGCAAAAAGTCGGCTGATTTAAGATACTGAAATCAGACAGGAATTTTTGAGGATTTTATTAAAAAAATTTATTGCAAAAAAAAATTTTTATTTTAATTTAATTAATAAAAAAAAAAAAAATACAATACGAGTCAGCTGATTTATAATATTAAAATAAAACAGACAATTTTTAGAGATTTACTAAAAAAAAAATTTTTTCAAATCAAAAATTAAAAAAAAAAAAAACTCAGTGCATTGAAAAAAAAATAATAAAAAATGACAAGTGAGTTAGTCGACATCTGAAAATTTTTAGAATTTTTTTTATTAAAAAAATTATTACAAAAAAATTTTTTTTAAATTTCATTTGTAAAAAACTTTAAAAATTGTAAGTGCAACTTTTAAAAAATATTTTTTGTTCTAATTTAATAATTAAAAAAAAAATTAAAATGTCGGCTAACTTTACTTTTATAAATAGAAAATTAAAAAAACTATAAGTGGAGTTTTTAAATAATAATTTAATAAATGAATTAAAAAATTGTAAAAAGTCTGCTGATTTATGATACTGAAATCAGACTTTTGAAAATTTTAAGTTTACTCAAAAAGTTTATTGAAAAAAATTCGCAATGTAAAAATTAAAAGAAAAACTGTGTGCAATTAAAAAAAATTTTTTCTTTCAAATTCTAATTTAGTATAAAACAAGACAAAAGTAAAAAACAGAAGTCAGCTGATTTATATGATACTGTAATCATCCAAGAGATAGTTTTAAATTCTCAACAATTAATTCCAAACAAGTTAAAAAAAGAATTCCTCAGGAATAAACTAAAAAATGACAAAACAAAAAATCATCAGATTAATTCCAGTATTTAAAACCAAGTGTTAGTATATACCTCTATAAATTCCACCACAAAAAATAAATAAACAGTGACGTGAAACCCTAACCTCAAAGCATGTAATGCATCGCGTAAATACCCATCTTCGAACCGAAAATTCTTCCAGTGAGTCCAAAAAAATGACTCCTTATTTTCTCCGAAAGAACCACCAGCTAGTGTCTAACTACCACCGGAACATAATCCTGTCCTTATTCGCGATAGTGACAAGTGTGTTAACCCTGACAATCATCTACCACCTCTTCGGATACGTGAATACCTCCAAAGAAGTGATCTACTCTCGAATTTCAATCGACGCAGAAACCTTGGCGTCTCTCCCCCAAGTGACAGTCTCAAGATCCCTCAAATCCTCACCAAAGAACCTAACCTGCACTCACTTCACCTGCTTCAACGTGTACCGGTGCGGGCAGGAGGGCAGCAAGTTGCTGATCTACGTCTACCCCCTGGAGAGTTTCCTCGACGAGGACGGCACAATAATAAACAACTTATCTCGTGAATTTTTGCAGATCCTCCAGGCGATAATCCGGAGTAAGTTCTACACCCCGGACCCCTACCAAGCATGTCTGTTCGTGCCTTCAATAGACACATTGAACCAGAACAGGCTGAACGTCCAAGCAGTGGGTCGTGCGCTCGCCTCCCTGGAGTTCTGGAACCACGGTGAGAACCACCTGATCTTCAATTTAGTATCCGGCGTCTTCCCGGACTACAACACCAGCCTTGACGTGGACATCGGCAAGGCGATTCTCGCCGGTGCAGGATTTTCCACGTTGACTTTCAGGAACAACTTCGACCTGAGCATCCCAGTGTTCACCTTCAGGAACGCTTTGGTTCCCGGAACCGAGTCAGAAGGTAAGCACTTGATAATCTCAGCGCAAATTAACATAAACATCGCCTTCGAGCAGGACCTGCAGGACATAAACACCAACAACGAGATCCTGATCCTCCACCCGTGCCTGAATCACAACCCGATGAGCAGTTCCGTCCGCTGCAAGAACTCCAGGGTCTACAAGTACCCAGAAGTCTTGAACTCGGGGATCTTTTGCATGGTGATTCGCTCAGCCAGGTACGGACAAACCGTCCTGATGGACTCTTTAGCCGCTGGATGCATCCCGGTGATTATTTCAGACTCTATCGTGATGCCTTTTGGAGATCTGATCGACTGGAAGCGCGCTGCGGTATTTGTCCGCGAGGTTGATATCTTGGGAGTCATTTCCACGCTGAAGAATATTTCTGCGACTCGCATTGAGGAATTAAAGAGCCAAGGTCAGTGGTTGTGGAACAGGTACTTTAATTCTGTTGATGCTATTGTCAACACGGGGCTGGAGATCATCAACGACAGGATTTTTCCTCAGGAAAGCAAGGACTATAATTACTGGAACAGCAGATTCAGTTCTTCCCCGCTGTTTTTACCAGTTACGGCGCCAAAAACTCATGGGTTCACTGCTGTCATCCTGACTTATGACCGAGTGGAGCTCCTGTTCTCGCTGATCACCAAGATTGCCCAGGTTCCGAGCTTGTCTAAGATCCTGGTGGTCTGGAACAATGTCAAAAAAGACCCACCGGTCTCTGCCAGGTGGCCCAAGGTCAACAAGTCGCTCCAGGTGATCAGGACCAAGGAAAATAAATTGTCAAACAGGTTCTATCCGTATGATGAGATTGAAACTGAAGCAGTCTTGTCTATTGATGATGACATCGTGATGCTCACCGCGGATGAGCTTGAGTTTGCTTATGAAGTCTGGAGGGAGTTTCCGGATAGGATTGTTGGGTTCCCTTCTAGGACTCACACCTGGGATAATGAGACTCAGTGCTGGAGGTACGAGAGCGAGTGGACTAATGTCATTTCTATGGTACTCACTGGTGCTGCTTTTCATCATAAGTATTGGATGTATTTGTATACTACCTCTATGCCTGGGGATATTAAGTCGTGGGTTGACGCGCATATGAATTGCGAGGATATTGCTATGAATTTTTTGATTGCCAATACTACTGGCAAGAGTCCGATTAAGGTGACGCCCAAGAAGAAATTCAGGTGTCCAGAGTGCACTAATACTGAAATGCTGTCTGCTGATTTAGCACACATGGCTGAACGGACTAGGTGTATTAATAAGTTTACTAGGATTTATGGACACATGCCTCTTAGGTCGGTTGAGTTTAGGGCTGATCCAGTTTTGTTTAAGGATGTGTTCCCGGAGAAGCTCAAGAGGTTCAATGCTATCAAGAGTTTGTAATTTTTTGAGTGTAAGTTTCAATATGGAGCTATTTTAATGACACTGAAGTTAGCAGACGTTTAAAAATTTTTGATTTTTTTTTTTTTTAATTAAATATAACTAAAAGGATATTTATAAAAAATTGCACTTATAGTTTTTCAAGTTTTTAACATGTGATATTTTTTTTTTTTAATTGTTTAATTGAAATTTTTTCGGTAAAAAATTTCTAAAAATTTTGAAATGTCAGCTAACTTCATTTTTATCTATTTTATTATTGTTGTTATTAATACTAAAATTAAATTAAAGCTGTTAATTTTTTGGATTTTTAAAAAAAATTTTACATTTAGAAATTTAAAAAAAATATGAAAATTAATTTAGAAGATATTTAATTATTTTAGGAATTTTTTTGACAAACAAATTATGGTAAAAAAGTAAAAAAAAATTGACACGTAGAAATTTAAAAAAATAAAAATTGCAATATTTTAAGAACAATTTTTTGGAAAAAATCTATTAAAAATAAAATAAAAAAATAGTTAATTGACTGCTAACTTTAATGTCATAAAAAAAATTGCAAAAGTGCAAATTAGAAAAAAACTAAAATTTTTTGAATTTTTATTATTAAATTATTATAAAAAAATTTGACAGAAATTTAAAAAAATTAGAAGACCAAATTCAAAAAAAATTATTTTATCAATTTGTAATAAAAATAAAAAAAATTTCCAGATGTCAGCTGATTTCAGTATCACTTAATATTTTAATTGATGTTATTGTTTTTTTACAGGTATTCATCATAGTGACTATTTTAATCAAAGAATTAATTAAGTGAACAATTGAGGATTAATTATCGATAGTAAACAGTATATTTAAAACCACGATAAGTTTTTATTGTTATTATTATTATTGTTACTGTGCAGTGCGCGAATCTAACCTAGTAATATAGTTTGACATATTAAATTACGATGAAATGTCAAAGTGAAGATAAAATGAGCGAATTGTCAGGTATTTTATTATTTTTATTAATATTTTGTTATTTTAAAATCTACAGTAGTAATTATTTATTATTTATACTATTGATAATAAATAATTTTGTTTAACTTTTTACTGGAAAAATGTTATTTGGAGTTTATTGTTTTTGTGACTCGGAAATCTGGCCGAATTTTTATTTGTTTTGGAAATATTTTGTAAATCTAAATAGAACTTCTTAATTTTTAAAAATACTTCAAAAATTTTTTTGGTTTATAATTTTAATTATTAATTTTGTATTTACTCATTTTGTTTTGTTGGTTTTGTTTACTCCAAAATTGACAGAATTTAATTGCTGTATAGAATATTTACACGAAATATTATGTCATATTTTCTTAGTATTGAAAAAATGTATTAACCTTTAAATTCAGAGAAAAAAATTTTTTTCAATTTTTTTAAAATTAAACATTAAATTTATTTATTAAAAAAAAGTTTTTATTTTATCGGGACTTTAATTTATAAAAAAAAAAAAAAAAAAAAAACTTTAAATTTTTTTTTTCGTGATAGTCTTTGACCTTGTGATTATAAATTCCATTAATAATTTGAAAGAATTTTATCATGTTTAACAACTTTAATTTCAAGATAAATAATTGTTTGTTTAAAATTTTTTTACTTCGTTAATTATCATTATTAAAAATATTCAGTAAATATGATAATTAAATTAGCAGACATCTGACAAATCTTAGAATTTTTATAATTAATTAAATACTGTAAAAAAAAATATTAAAAAAATTCATGATGCTAGTCAGCTGACTCAATTTTTAAAAATTTTTTAACAAATTAATTACAATGAAAAAATACTTTAAAAAATTTACACTAAGAATTTTTTTTAAATGTTTACACGTGGAATTTTTTTATTAAATTTTTTTCACAATAATATTGTTATAAATTTCTAACTTTTTGTAATATAATTTTTCATAATAATAAAGTTAGCCGACACTTTTATTTTTTTTTCTCTTGTTAGATTAGAATTAAAAAATGTTTTTAAAGAATTGCACTTATAGTTTATCAATTTTTTTTATTTTTTTGTAACAATTTTTTCAATAAAAAAAATTATACATAGTTTTATAACAATAAAGTTAGCCGAAATTTAAAAATATTTAGAATTTTTTTTAATAAAAAAAAATCGTAACAAAAAAATTTTTTTTAAAAATACATTCGTAAAAAATTTGAAAAACTATAAGTGCATTAAAAAAAAAATTTTTTTTAGTTCTAATTTTATAAATTAAACAAAATCAAAAAATAAAAAATATCGGCTAACTTTATTATTATAAAGTTTTTAGATGTCTTTTTGCTAATTTTTTTCCAATTTATCATAAAAATCTAAAAAATTAAATTCAGTATCAATAAATTCAACCTTAAGTTTTTACCCTGCTAAAACCTGTAATAATTTTCCAGCTGTAGTAGGTGCTCTCTTAGACGGACTGAACGACAAAAGTGACCAAGTAACATCCTGCATCAACGAATCAATCCGTCAGATATCAACCCGCAGCCCAGCAGTAGTTCTCCACGCGACAATATATTATTTCGAGTTGCATAAAAAAATAACACCAGCTCATACATCAGCTATTCTGCGTATCATCACGGACACTTTAAACAGCATTAGTACCACTAATCCCACCACCGACCCCAATGATAATTCCATTGAAAATTCCAATGACAATTCCAATGAAGAATCAAACTCAAGCCACCAAACATTAGAAATGCCTACCCTGGCGGATTCCGTAGCCGAATTAGCCGTGGAAAAGCTTTCAGAATTCGAAGTAGAAGCAACCGAAGTGCTAGTCGCGCTAGGTAATAGTTTCTGCAACCAAGCAATCGGCAACATCTTGAACAAGTTTGAATTCGGTAGCATCCCCAAGTCTTCAGCAATGATCCGAGCCCTGGGACTGATCGCCGCGAGCAATCCATACGACGTGGTGCCTTTCATAAAACTGACCTTGACATTCGTGCTGCCTTTCTTGAACCAAGCACAAGAAGAACACCAGAAGCTAGCACTGTGCTTCGTGGTAGGAAAATTCGCTGAGGCGATAAACGAGTACCTCGGCAACCTAGGCATGAATTCAGAATCTCGTATCACCCGTGACAGCTTCGCCGAAGAAGCGAGTTTTGTCTTCGAGTTCCTGACCGGTAGTTCCTGGTTGAAGCCAGTATCAGCAACCAAGAACCGGCTGGCTGAAGCAGTGTTGAGCGCACTGTGTCCAATTCTGCTGCTTCTGCCAACCGGTAAGAATCTAAACGAAACAATAAAGCTGATCCCGTCGGTACTAAACTTCTGCAAGCACCCAACGACGCGGTTCGCTGCTACCAAGCTGATAGCCACCATTCTGATCGACAACGACCGCCACAACGACAACCAAGCCAGAGAATTGTTGCGTCCTCACCTGGAACCGATCCAGCAGATTCTCTTCGAGCTGGTCAACGTGACTCCTGCCTTTGAAACAAGGTCCAGTTTATCCAGAGACGCTCTGCTGACTCACTATGAAGTTCTCCAGTGCTACCGGGCGATAGTCACTCTGTACCCAGAAGAAGGGCTGGACCTGGTCCTGCACCACTTGAGATCTCCAGCTCCGCAGTCGCATCGCGGCAGGGCTCTGGTGATCATAAGACACCTGATCAACACCCTGCCCACGGAGGATGACCTTTCGCTCCAGCGAATCGCTCTGAGCATCCAGAATATCCTTGGAGACAGTGGAGGTGCCACAGTTCGTTATCTAGCTGGTCCGATAATTGCGCTGCTGGCGCATCCTAGTCTTAATCTCTTGCCTTCGCAGCGCGCAAACTTGATCCGCTTCATCATAATCCGGTGTGGTGATGATACAGAGAGCCAAGCGTACGAAGAAGCTTTGTTCTTGCTAGCTAACACAGTTGCTGGAGCTGAAAACTGGCTCTGGACTGCTTTGCTAAAGGCCTTGCTGGATCCAACGTATTCATTGGCAGTCGTGCCGATTCTTCGGGGCCTGGCGGCTCTGGTGGGAAAAGTAGTTCATCAGATGGACAATGAAGGGAGCAACTCTTTCAAGGAATTTTCTGGATCGAAAGTCCTTAAAAGATGCTTGGAATTGCTGGATGATGATAAAAATTGCCTGGCAGTGGTGTCATTTTTAAAATCCGCGGCTCCGTTGTTCGGACACCAGCTAAAACCCGAGTGGGACATCTCGCTGGGAAAGATATCTTCTATTCTAGAAGAAGGGAATGATGAGTGGAAAAACCAAATGGTAGAGCTTATGGAGACCAGTCGGCTGTTAGAGGGCGCTGATTGGGCTGGAAAGCTTTCCAATGAGATGGTTCAGGGAGAAACTATTAAAAGTTCCACGACTATTTATCTCGCAGCGGTTACTGATAATCCTAATCACTTGTCTACTCTTGTAGATCTTTCAAGACTTAATCCCTTTAACGAAGTGTATTCTCAAGCGGTAGGAATTGCAGCCAAGCGCCACCTGTCGGTAATTATGACCAGGATGCAAGAAGCATGCGACGTTATCGACAGCCAAAAGAATCCCACAAAGTTATTTGGGCTAATGAAAAACGCGTCCGCTGTTACTGTAGTCGAAGCGACTAAAGCAAGCTTGCTTCGTTGTTACGGAGAAATTTTTGCAACTGCTAAGGATTCTGAGCTAGTTTACAAAACTTACATTGCGGAGAACAAACACGTGCTGCCGTGGATTGTCAAGCAGCTGACGGATTGCAAGGAAGTTACTACTAAAGAAGCCGGGCTGTTTGCTTTGGAACAATTGGCCAAGATTGTCGCAGCTAAGCCGAATTCTGAAGATCTTACTTCGAGTGTTGTGCCAAGTTTGAAGACCAAGGGGGCGTGCTTGGCGACTTTGCTGTCGCTTTTGCAGTCTCACACCGGGTACAGGCCGATTCAGCTGTACCCGCAGCTGCTGAAGACGATGATTGCATTGCTAAAAGTCCCACCGATGCTGACTGTTGAGGAGCAACAAGTGCTGATGGGGACCATTTTGGACAAAGTGATCGGCTCTAGTGCGGAAATCGACTTGATTTTGAAGAAAGAATCTAAAAATTATGTCGTCCAGAGGCTTGGAGCAGTCAGTAGTGCAATGGTCGGTGATTCTGCTAACAATCTAGCTGAATTTGTAGAGATTATCATGCCCTGGATGGAGTCTAAGACTCCAGTGGAGCGCAAGATGACCTTGCTGGTTCTTAGAACCACTTTAAAGTCTTACTGCCATGCGCTTAAGTACACCTACCCTGAAGGAAAGTTAGAAGCTGGGAAGCTTCTGGGTAGAATAATCTGCTGGTCAGCAGACTCTGAGCGTCTGCTCCGGCCGATTATCATCGACTCTTTAGCTCTGACTCTAGAAATAGCCGCAAGACATCACAGCAGTGGTCACCCATTTGTGGAAGGAAGCAACGATCTGGAAGAATCCAAGCTCCGGTTGATCAGCGAAGACATCAAGTCCCCTGACGACGTCTACGAAGGCGTTTTGATGCTCGCCAAGACAGTCTGCCAAAGAGTGACTCCTGGAGAAGTGGTAGCGATGGCCGAGGGCTTGATAGAAGGATTCTTGCTAAGGGAAGAAAACTCCCTAGCAGCTGGAATCACCCTGAGCCAGTTGTTCCGGATCAGAGGCGATGAAATCCCCAGGTCTGACTTGTACCTGATTGACAATATCGTGACCCAGATGCGCCAGATAGAGAATGCCAGTTGCAGGCACGCTGCCGCAACTGCCATCAAATCTCTGACTCTCCATCACCCGGAAGAGGTGATAGAGCACCTGCTGCACCAACCCTTGCCCCCTGACCGCGGTACTGAGGAAAGCTGGAGGGAACTGGGCAGTGATGAAGAGACAGGCTTAGTAGCGGTTGATTTCCTGGTGAACCGCTTGGAGAACAACAATCTGTTCGCGGAAGCTCCATCTCCAACCAACGGATCCTTGACCAATCGCAGTGATGTCAACAAAACAGCTTCCCTGGCGTCTCTAGCAGCAGTGATAGCTCTAGGACACGTTCTCCAATCAGCAAAGTCAGAACTGTTGATAAATTCACGGCTTGCTGAGCTAATCACCTGCTTGATAAAGTACCTGGCTGGTTGGTTGCATGCAGACACGCCTGCTTCTGTCTTGAGTACCAAGTTTGGGTTTGTTCCCAATCGCAAGGCCTGCAAGTTGAACCCTTATAGGCAAGTCTACACAGTTTTGACGAACCTGCTGACTGTCATTGATATCAACGTTGCCTCAGGGCTGCTGAATGACAACCCGAGGTTTGAATCCGACACCCAGGCCAGTGATAGCTTGATATCTACAGTGCGTTCAGTCCTCCGGTGTTTTGGAAGGAAGGTTGGGTCTAAGGACGACTTGCTGATCTCCGTAGCTCAATCTATCGGGAAGTTGGTGACCAGCCAGATAGCCACTCAAAGAGCCGTAGCGATTGCGTTTTACGGAGAGCTGATCGGCCAGGTTGATGCGGACCCAATTTGGCTGGACTCCATCATCACTACGTTGTTAGAAGCCAGGTCTGATTCTTCCTTTCTGGTGAGGAAACTAGCGATCCAAGGACTGTCTAATATCAGCAAGCTGGATGCCCAGCAGCTGAATGAGTTCTATGACAACAGTGTGGCGGCGCTGCTAGACGGGTTGGAGGAACTGCCGACCAATGGCGGGCTGGTAGCTGGTGGAGGTAGCCAGGTGATTCTTGAATCTTTGAGAGGCTTGGAGACTCTGCTGGGGCTTCAGACTACCGGCAGGGCTGTTAGTCCGAGAGTTGTGTTGTCCTTGAAGTCTTTTGTTGACAAGCAGGACAACTGGGACATACGGCTGGCTGCCGTTGGAGCGCTGGGAGCTGTTTCTCGCGGATGGTTGAAATCTTTGAAGACTTATGATGATGATGACGTTTCTGATCACCTTCTGGGATGCTTGCCTTGTTTGACGGTCAGGCTTGAGGATGTTAATAGTCTGGTTGCGAAAGCTGCTCGAGAAACTCTGGTTAGCTTTTCAAATCTTCTGCAGTCTTTGTCTCTTGCTCAGGTTATCAGAGGACATCTTTCTTCTAATGCTGAGTTTGATGTTGAACATTTCTACCGGGAGCTGGTTAAGGTCTTGGTGATTGACCTGCCGGTCAGGGCTCAGGAGATGAGGAATGCCATGGTTCGTGGGTACTCCAGGTCAGAGGTTGCTGCTACTCGCGCTACTGCGGTTCTTATCTTGGGGTTCTTTGGACAGCCCAGGCCTGAAGATGTTCAAAGGATGCTACAGCTGCTTAGGGATAAGGACAATAGTGTTAAGTCCAGGGCTGCTAGGGCACTCGCTTTTGGGTTTACTACTTGAATTAATACTTGTAATTCCATTGTTACTAAATATTTATAAAATAAAATTTGTACATATTATTATTATTATTATTATTATTATTATTATTATTATTATTATATATGTTGTTAATTGGATTTAATTATTTACTAAATTTTAATTTATTTTATTAGTTAATTTATTTGTTGTGCAGTTTCTCAATGCACATACTGAGCTGTTGGAGTCTGTGAAGAAGGTGTCGCATGTTTGCACTAGACTGTCCAGGGCCACTGGTGTCTTTTTCTTGATGACGGGGCTGCTGTTGCCCAATTTCAAAGTGCATTCGGGCTAATCTTTCTTGCTGCTCTCTGATTTCTGTCATTTGTTCCATGCTGCAGTCTTTGCCTGTATATATAATTGATTAATTAATTATTATTGAATTGAATTAAAAAAAATAGTAATAATAATAATAAATTGAATTTTTTTGTATCAAATTTTTAATACTATTGACCAAAGATGATGGCTTTTTCATTATATTTAAAATTTTTTTAACAATCTATAGTATTAAGAGAAGAAAAATTTTGTCTCCAGGATAGTCATATAATAAAATCAGTTTTTATTAGTGAAATTTAGTGTCATTGCAAAGGTCTTGACTTGAATTTGTGCCTTTTCAAGATTTCATATCATTCTCACCGATAGTCAATTTATTATGATAAGTATTTAGGTTGCATTCGAAAATGCTCTATTTCTATATACATAATTAAGAAATGACCTTGTATCTTGTGAACTATTGACATTTTTAAAGATATAAGCTCACCTCGACATTGTACTCATCGAGACCTTTCATTTGAGTACCCACATCAATTTTTCATATATTTTATATATTTATATATTTCACAAATATCATATATATAAAATATATAAAAAATACCATGTGGGTACTTAAATGAAAGGTCTCGATGAATGTAACATCAAAATAAGTTTACATCTTAAAAAATGTCATTAATTAAGAAATGACATGGTACCTTGTCTACTGATGATATTTTTAAAGATATAAGCTCATT